CTTTCGTGTACAGCAGTCAGAGGTCTATAGGACAATAATGGGTACACGTGGACTAGCATAATCTGGATGGTCCTGACCCCAGCACCTGCAGCTTGGGCGTGGAAACGATCTTCACCTTCACCTTGCCGCTCGGCAAACCAATCCCCACCAATGCTTCGAGGTTTGGGGCGTCATCAACAACGAGCTCTTTCAAGTAGCCGATGTGACAGGTACTGTAGTAACTTTTTAGAAGTTAGGGTGGAACTAAACGCTGAAAGTCACCGTACAGGCGTGCTAGGCTCTTAGACCGAAGGCAAATCTTGTCCAGTCCAATGATGTTGAGCTTCACGCACTCCAGGGAGTTGCCGTGGGATAGGATGGCCTGCAGGGAGTCCTAGGACACGTTCACACGAGTATCTTGGGATGTGTTTAACTCGTGAAATTTGGGATTTTGATTACTGTAGCATTTTTGTTTTTATTTGATAATTATTGTTCAATTATGGACTAATTAAGCTCAAAACGTCCGTCTCGCGATGTCCAACCAGACTGTACAATTAATTTTTTTTTTCTATATTTAATGCTCCATTCATATAACATAAGATTCGATGTGATAACCACTGTAGTATTTTTTAGAAAAAATTTTGGGAACTAAACACAGCGGGGAGCCCCGGCGCGGGCGCCGGCCAGGCATCCGAAAATCTACAATAATGCACTTTGAGGGTTTCGAGGGAGGCGAGCTCGAGGAGGGACCCAGGGAGAGTCAGCATGGAGATTGCGTATAACATGTCGACGTCGATTTCCAGCACACCTTGACGCGCGAGGGCTCGGAACCAGCCGTCGACGATGCCCAGGCAACCGTCGAACCCCCACCCGTACATGGCGAACCGAAAACTCCGGATGCGGATGCGTGGCCGGGCGGCGAGGATATCGGTGATCGCGCGGATGAACCAGCCGCCGCCGTGGACTCCCTCTCGGTGTGAACGGCTGGCATGCGTTGGAGTCCAAGAGGGATTGGTCGAACAGGCCACGCCATCGCGACAAGAGAACTACCGTGCGCCCAGCGTCGCGAAGGGGGAGCAAGGAGAGGACGGACAGCAGGACGGCGTCTGGGAGATCGCTGATTCGATCCCTCCCATCCCCGGTCGGCCGATCTGCGGTGCAAAACCCTATCACCGCAGCCGGACTCCAGGCGAGCGCATTTAGCCGCCCGTGGCCTGCCGCCGAATTCCTCCTCGTCGGTGTCCACGGCCCGCGAAGGCGGGGCTAACGCAGGCGGCGGGCCGTCGGAGTACGGGTTCGAGCAGCTCGACGAACATGGCGGCCAATCCCAGGCCATGATCTGACCCTGCCGCGATGAGATCGACGAGGGGGAAGAGGAAGGGCTCACCCAACTTCCCATTGTCTGCCCGTGGCCGCCAGTCGGTTTCCCTCGCGTACTGCGTACAGACGGAAAGAAGTTGAATGATGGGGAAAAAAATGGGGTGGGCGATGGATCGAACCACCGTGCGCCCCCATCGTCTGACGCGTGGCCAGGGAAAAGAAATCAACGTGCGTCGTGCAACCTCCGTGACGCGTAGCGACGTGCAGGCTCGATCAGCCAATCTCGGCTCTAAGTGCAGCACCACGGCGTGTAGAGCGCTTGATATTTGTTTCCTGGCCAAGTGTCGACAATCTAGCTAGGGGCATATCGGTGGTTCCATGTCAGCCTGGGCATTCGGTAATACCGACCGGTTCGGTAATTCGGTTTCCATCGAAAATCGATTCCTCGAAAAATTGGTACCGATCGGTTCCTTCCCAAAATCGGTACCGACGAAATTCCGTTTCGATACTTTCGGTTTGGTTTCGGTATTTACCGAATAGTACCGAACTGATCACATAGACATGTAACAGTAGGTTCGAAAGCTAATTTTGATATGATTTCATAGAGCATAATAGTGCAAAATAAATATACATATAAAAGTCCACAAGACTATAAGAGTGAGTACCACAAATACATAAATATAATAGTCTACAATAGTACAATCAATAATATAACAACATTCAAACTCGGCACATTTCAAGTAATTCGGTAAATTCGGTTCCCCGAGGTAAAGAACCGAATTTACCTCGGTAATTTCGGTTGCTGGGAATTAGGAACCGAATAGGGTACCAAAAAATTCGGTTTCGGTATTTTCGGTTCGGTTCTTGATATTTTCGGTTCGGTTCTCGGTATTTTTTGCCTAGGGCTAGTTCCATGCACCTATCGCCCACCCAATTTTTCGCATGTTCTGAGTGGTGTCTGTGTGAAAGGTTGCTGAGCTACGAGAAAAACTGTCGTGGGCTGTGATAAAGCTGATCATTTTGTGGAACTGCCGTGGAGGAGCTGTGAGGAGCTGCTATGACTTGTAGTTACTTTTATAGTTTAGTCCATTTCCTCTTTACAAATTAAGAACTAATTTTACTTCTATTTAATTCTCTTATAGCTTTACGGTTAGCCTCTTATCCTTAGCCACTTCACCAGATCAGGAAATCGAGCGGCGACAATTGGGCGGCGGAGGAGGACCGTGGCCGGGGATGAGACGAGGGGGCGGAGGAGAGGTGTGGGTGGTCGCCGACAAAGAAGGGAGCCACGAGGATGTGAGGGAGGCACACATCATAGCCGCCACTGTCGGGCTGCTCGTCCGCCACCGCCAAGTACACATCGAAGCCATGAACGTCGAGTGTCACGAGTTCGTAATTGCAGCGAGCATTGTGGTTGTTCGTCGGAAGTTGATGTGTGGGTCTCCGGCGGCTTGGACACTCAAAAACACGGAAGGGGCATAGCTCAATTTATTCTAGTTCGGACTTCTAAGCCCTACGTCCAGTAGTATAGTGATCTTCGTGTTAGGGATGCCCAATCAAGGGGTTACAATGGTGGAGATCGAGAGATTGGTGGAGGATCGCTCGGTGCCATTCTAGGGTTCATTTGTCTTCTTCCTCTGAGAGTAAGTAAGAATCCACCTAAGGATAAAATGCCAATTCACGCCTAACTTAATACTGTTGGTGGCCAAATCTGACAAAGGCCACATAAGAGCACCTCTAGCAGCCTACCTAAACACACCGTCTATCCTACATTTGGATAGTGAAGGCAAAAAATGCACTCCATCAGGTTACCTATCAGACTACCCAAATTTGTTGGCCCAGAGACCCCCCTCCCCATACCTAATTCTATTGGGCCAACAATTGACTACCTACTTTTCTCATTCGTTGTTTCCTCCCCACGCGAGTCTTCCGTTCGCCCGAGTCCGCTACCGCTGTAGGGGAGACTTGACGTCGACGCAAGGAAGTCCGACGCCCCACAGGGTAGACGTTGCAGCCGCCGGCCCTTCTCCGCTAGATCTGGAGGTGGCCCTCCTCCATCGGCCGTCCTCCACGAGGCACCTCCGGCGTGTGGCGAGCTGCCCTAGAGCGGTGTGCGGCCACCGGCGTGGGTGCAGCGCGGGCGTGGCTGCTCGGTGCAGTGGTCATCCTCGGCGCTGCGAGCCCGCCCCTGCGCGCCACCTCCCACCCTGTCCATCAATGGGAAGAAGAACATGAGAGAGAATGACACGTGGAACGATGACCAAAGCTACCATAAGAATGTTTATTATTTAAATAGATGTGCGTTTTATAAATGGCTGCTTAACCACCTTTGCAAATCAATCTCATTTTTTTACACGTTAAGAACCATATATTCACTACTCGCATAGGGGCACGCGTCAACAACCAGTCTTATTAACAAACCGGTTAGTTTTGGCCGAACGGGGACGGTCCAGCGGTGCCACTCACCTCTGAGTCTCTGACTGAGATGGCTCTTGTCAATTACTCAATTGTCATCCGATATCATCATTGTTCTCTTCTCCTGGAACTCGTCTTCTTCGGTATGCCTCGCGTGTCATACGCGATCATCAAATATATAAATAAAAGCAACACAGGATCATCGTGCAAAAATGGCATATTAACACAGAAAAACATGTGCTACACTATACATGATCGGACCGATCGGATTTCCAATTCCGTTGGTGATTCTGTTTGGAACGAAGGATTTCCACGGGAATTTTGAGGGAACAGATCCCAGAGGAAAGGAATCACGTTGGAGCGTTTGGACGGAAGGAATGCCGAGTTACGTTCCATGGGAAAGGGAGTAGCTGATGTGCAAAATGCAGGAAATAAAACATCCATTGCGATCTAAAGTAAACGATCATCGCTGGCTCTCTGTCGACCTATATTTGTCTAACATGTTATAATTCCTATGTTATAAATTCATGTGTTTCAAACAGCCTAAATTTTCTGTTTCTATATTTTAAAATCTCATAGTTTTTTATTTTTATCGTACCTTATTTCTGTATTTTTTACTATTTCGATTCCTTCGTTCCCAAGAGGGCCAAATTCCCCCCGCGTCCTTTCCCCATCGCTCCTCGATCAGATACCCGTACCCGCATTCATAGATGCGACCGAGCGCCGCACAGCGCCTAGTGCCAACTAGGCGTAGCGCACCGGCGCAGTCTGGGCTCGGGGCCCCCGTGTGCGGCTCTGCTTCAACAGCTGGCGCCACAGAAACATCAGTTTTTTGTCCGCGTCAGGCGCCACGGCCCTGCCAGAGCAGCAGCGACGAGAGCATAGAGCAACGTGACGAGCGGCGAGCGATACAGGCCAGAGCCGCGCGTCCTCCTGCGTCGCAGCGGCTTCGGGATGTCCCGCACTCCCGTGTGGGCGTAGCGCGTCTGCTTGTGCGTGGCGCCGACCTTACCCCGCGGCAGTGGGTGGTGCCGCTTTCCAAATCCAACGCACATCTACGCACATCTACGCGGGGGGCGCGCACACAGCCGCTAATCTTTCGCCCCCACGCCCCACGCCGCACCGCACCTGGTGCTGGTGTGTTGGCGACTTGGCGTGTAGCCCCCCTCCCTTCCCCCGTTGCGCGGTGATCTCTCTCGCGATAAACCAATCGATCGAGCAATCCAATCGAGGCAGAAGTAGAATCGGGGGATCAATCTGGGGCGCGTTTCGTCCGGTCGTCCGCCATGTTCTCGCGATCCTACACCAATCTGGTCGATCTCGCCAATGGCAACCTCTCCGCCCTCGACTACGGAGGCGGCGGCGGCGGGGGTGAGGGCGGAGGCCAGGGCGGGGGTGGAGTTGGAGGCGGAGGCGGGGGCGGGGGCCGCCCGCCGCGGGCGAGGCAGATGCAGCGGACGATGACGACGCCCGGGACGCTCGTGGAGCTCGACGACGAGGACCAAGCGGGCAGCGTCGCCTCCGACGTGCCGTCGTCGTTCGCCAGCGACCGCCTCATCGTCGTCGCCAACACGCTCCCCGTGCGCGGCGAGCGCCGGCCCGACGGCCGCGGGTGGAGCTTCTCCTGGGATGAGGACTCGCTCCTCTTCCACCTCCGCGACGGCCTCCCCGAAGACATGGAGGTCCTCTACGTCGGCTCCCTCCGCGCCGACGTGCCGGCCGTCGAGCAGGACGAGGTCGCGCAGGCGCTCCTCGACAGGTTCCGCTGCGTCCCGGCCTTCCTCCCCAAGGACCTCTGCGACCGATTCTACGACGGCTTCTGTAAGCAGACGCTCTGGCCGCTCTTCCACTACATGCTCCCCTTCTCCCCAGACCACGGCGGACGCTTCGACCGCTCCCAGTGGGAGGCCTACGTCCTCGCCAACAAGCTCTTCTCCCAGCGCGTCATCGAGGTCCTCAACCCGGATGACGACTACGTCTGGATCCACGACTACCACCTCCTAGCCCTCCCGTCCTTCCTTCGCCGCCGATTCAACCGCCTCCGCATCGGTTTCTTCCTGCACAGCCCCTTCCCTTCGTCAGAGCTCTACCGTTCTCTCCCCGTCCGTGATGAGATCCTCAAATCGCTGCTCAACTGCGATCTGATTGGGTTCCACACCTTCGATTACGCCCGGCATTTCCTGTCCTGCTGCAGCCGCATGCTCGGGATCGAGTACCAATCCAAGAGGGGGTATATTGGGCTGGATTATTTTGGACGCACGGTGGGGATAAAGATCATGCCTGTTGGGATTAACATGGTGCAGTTGCAGTCACTTCTCCATCAGCCTGATCTGGAGCGGCAGGTCACGGAGCTCCGGAACCAATTCAATCGGAAGACTGTCTTGCTCGGTGTGGATGATATGGACATTTTTAAGGGGATTGATCTGAAGATTCTTGCGTTTGAACAGATGCTGAAGACACATCCAAAATGGCAGGGCCGAGCAGTGTTGGTGCAGATTGCAAACCCAAAAGGCGGCAGCGGGAAAGACCTTGAGGGGCTACAGACTGAGATTGAAGACAGTTGCAGGAGGATCAATGAGCAGTTTGGACGGACTGGATATAGCCCTGTCGTGCTTGTCAATAGGATACTGTCAAGTGTTGAGAGGATGGCTTATTACACAATTGCAGAGTGTGTCGTTGTCACTGCAGTCAGGGATGGGATGAACCTTACACCATATGAATACATTGTGTGTAGGCAGGGAATTCCAAGTTTGGATGGTTCTGCAGATGATAGACCGAGGCGGAAAAGTATGCTAGTTGTGTCAGAATTCATTGGCTGCTCACCATCGTTGAGTGGAGCAATTCGGGTAAACCCGTGGAACATTGAGTCAACAGCAGAGGCGATGAATGAATCCATCGCTTTATCAGATACTGAGAAGCAACTGCGACATGAGAAGCACTATCGGTATGTCAGCTCACACGATGTTGCCTATTGGTCTAAGAGCTATATTCATGATTTTGAGAGAAGCTGTAGGGACCATTTTAGGAGGAGATGCTGGGGTATTGGACTAGGATTTGGATTTAGAGTGGTTGCTCTTGACCGCAATTTCAAAAAGCTTACTGTGGATTCTATTGTTGCGGATTACAAGAAGTCAAAGAGCAGGATTATACTACTGGACTACGATGGAACCCTAGTACCACAAACTACAATGAACAAGACTCCAAGTGAAACTGTTGTTAACATGATGAATACCCCTGTAATGCGGATAAGAAGAATGTTGTTTTTACTGTAAGTGGAAGAGGAAGGGATAGCCTTGAAAAATGGTTTTACCCTTGCTCAGAGCTTGGCATTGCTGCTGAACATGGCTACTTTATGAGGTACAAGTCTTTCCATAGTTTTCATGACTATTTAATTTATTACAGTTCTTTAGTGTCTTTCATTGCCTCTTTGCCTTAAATGCAACTGATATTCATCTTAAGCTGCTAATATAAATGAATGCAAAATTATATTGAAGTTTAATGTCACATGTTGAGAGGTTGCTTGCTTTCCTGACTTGACTCTCTCAAAAGAAAGTAAAGAGAAGATTTTCCTATTTTTGTGATTAATCTGTCACAAAACTTTAGATTTCCCCCCATTGCAGCATGCCACTATTACAATTTCCGTATCCTAACTTATTCTTTTGATTAGAAGATCAGCCAAAGCTTCTTACACGAACAGCTCATTCATGATCTGTTTATGCTTAGTAAACTCTGTATTACAGAAAATCACCAACCAAAGATTTCATTATCTTTGTTGTTGATTAAGATGGCTCAAACTCAACATTGATTTGGTGAACCTGTTGTCATGTCATATTTGTCCAAAACATCACCAGAACATATACCTAAAAGTGCTAGAAAGACAAGAAATATGCTTTGCATTTTATCTGTATGATTCTGATAGCTGTCGTGCTTTTGATGCATTCTAATGCAGTGCAACCCCATTACCTACTCTGATACCCATGTTGGCAATGCGTCATTCCTATTTTAAAAACTATAAGGGCAGTGACAATCACGCCTTTTAGTGACAATCACACATCAGATATGTAAATGTTTCAGCAAGGCAACCTGCTCAGGATAGCTATATGTTTAGGACTGATAGTAAGTATTAAAGACTGTAATTATTATTGGCTGACAGCTTTGGACTTATGCATGACATATGAATATGCTGATCATCAATGAAATGTTTATCCCCATGCATCAATACTTTATCTTTGCATCCACACAACACTTTGGTAGTTCAATATAACCGAAAAATCTTGTCCTGTCATTTGGTATGATTATTTTAGTGGCAATATGTGTTTATTGCTCAATCAAGAATGAGCACACAGCACAGTAAAAGGTCTGATTGATAGCTGGGCTACTGGCAATATACGCAGATTCATTGTTCTCATCTGGGTGACAAAATAGGCTGTGAATGGCTTAACACTTCCAACTCTGCAACTTGCATATCGAAAGTGCTTGCATGTAAATAGTCGGATAAACTTTTAAACTTCTGTGTTCTTTGATGGTTTTATATGATTCTTTTGAATATTTGTGAGTTTGAAGTGATGTTAAACATTGGGATTTCTTAGGAAGTTTGGGACATATCTCAACAGTTGCTTATGTCTGCAGGTGGACCAGAGACGAACAGTGGCAAATACAACATCAGACATCAGATTTTGGATGGATGCATATGGCTGAGCCGATAATGAAACTGTACACAGAGGCAACTGATGGATCATATATTGAAACCAAAGAGAGTGCTTTGGTCTGGCATCACCAAGATGCTGACCCTGGTTTTGGATCTGCACAAGCGAAAGAAATGCTAGATCATTTGGAAAGTGTCCTGGCCAATGAGCCAGTCTCTGTAAAGAGTGGCCAGCATATTGTAGAGGTTAAGCCTCAGGTATTGAATTTCTCCAAAACACATTATTTACTCTGCATGGTTGAAATTGACACTTATGTTGTGGATATTCACGTTCCCCACACCATGTGCAAAATAGTGTACCTACTAGGATTATCCGTCATAAGTGTTTCTTTTCTTTACCTGACACTAACTCGAGTTAATTTGTTATGATGTTTGTCATTTAGGCCATAGCACTATCATTCATCTCCCATGACATGTTATGATGGCAAGGAGACAGAGAAATTTGAATTTGCATGTGCTTAAAATCCATAAAACTTATCTAAGTTGTGTTTGCTATGAAACTTGGTCATCAAAGACCTTATTCTGATTTTGTGTTGAAATTGATCTCTTTTTTTTTTTCTCGATCAACATAAAAGGTTTATGCGTCTTTGTATTAAGGTAGAGAAAAACTTTAATACAACACGCCCAATCGGCGCCCTAGGAGGTCAGAAGAGTAGTACATGGACGCTCGGACCCTCCCTAGTGTGCTGAAAGAAATTGATTTCTCTTTTCTCAGCAAAAATTTAGTCACTTGTTACCCCGAGTTTAACTCCCTGCTTTTCTTTCATTGCAGGCTGTCAGCAAAGGTTTTGTTGCCGAGAAGATACTTTCAACTCTCATGGAGAAGGGAAGGCAAGCAGATTTCGTTCTGTGCATTGGTGATGATAGATCGGATGAGGATATGTTTGAACAGATTGCTGATAGTACGAGGAAGAGCATGGTTGATCCCGAAACCTCGCTGTATGCCTGCACAGTCGGGCAGAAACCAAGCAAGGCCATTTACTATTTGGATGACGCTAATGAGGTCTTAAACATGCTCGAAGCACTTGCTGATGCATCGGAGGAGGCAGGTTCTGGTTCACCGGAAGGCACTGATGGACCATCTACACTGGAGGAAGCATGATGGAATCAGGTGTCGTCCTGGGAGGTGAAGTGCTCAGCTGATTTGGCACTGCCACCACCAGACTAAAACTGAAGACGGTTTCGTTCAGCAGGAAGTGAAACATTAGCAATACCAGGATAGTCAATGTCAATAACCTAGTTGTTTCTCTATTTCTGGTTCCTTTTTCAGTTTACCTTAAGTTAGAGTAATTTTCATATTGTATCTAGTAGATAGGAAAAAGTGCCTGGACGGAAGAATCCATGGCCGGCATCTTTTCACCTTTTTCACCTTGGTACCAGTTAAGAGAGAATGGAGTATTCCGCGAGCATAAGTCGAAATTAGGGCATGTCTTCATACACATGGCGAGTTCCTAGCTGGGGCTAAAAATTTGCCCAAATTAGTTATGGTGGGAGCTAACAACTACGAGTAGTTGGAAACTTGGGTAAACAATTAGCACCCTTCTTGATTGGATGCACTAAAGCCAATTTTAATTAATTTTTAGCTAGCTAAGAATTAACCCTTGTATCTGGACACTGGGATTTTGCCTAGTGGTGCAATTATTCTCAATCGTCTTCTCAATGATTGAAGCCAATGTGAGCAGAAACCAGTACGATACCTGAAGAATCTTGTTCTTGCATGTCAAATAATTCCATTAATTCAATAAACAGGAGGAACTACAAATGGATTATATAAGATATCAAAGAATATCGTGGACTAGTGCGGACAAAAATTAAAGTACGGGCTCCATCTGCAGATCTGCTTCTTTAGCAGTCTACATATGTGTGCACATGGTTGACCCTCTAGGATCATGTTCAACTGATTAGTAGAGTCCGGAATCTCAATAAAAATCGAAATATTATAAATAAGAAACATATAACAAACAGTAATATAACCTGCAAAAGTTTCTTCGCAACCAGAGGAATCCCAATCCGCTAGTACCCAACGCCAGGGCTGGGCGCCTGGGCACAGACCGCAGCAGCCGCTCGGCTCTTGTGCCGCTCACAGGAAGACCTTCCGGCAACTTGTGCACCAGCGCCACCAACCCGCCGCCTCCGGCCGGGGACAGTCGCCGCGCCGTGCCAGCTTCGAAGCGCACCGCCACGCCTTCGCCCGACCCCGGGGATGTGCGGTCTTGGGTCTTGGCACGACGCATGGCTCAGGAGCAGGCACAGAACAAGGAGCACCCAGCCGTGCCGCTGCATTGCTGCTCCAGTAGTCCTCCTCAGGTACAAGTTGGCTAAAGGTAGGTCAGTTGGGCTGATTGGCTCGGAGGCCGAATTGGGTTGCGCTGAGCTAAGGAAGCCAGCTGATCGAGGTGAACAACTGAACATTGTTGGTTGCTGCGGATCGGACCTCAGTGGAAGTGCCGGGAGTGATCTCACTCTCACGATGCGGAGTTGGTTAAGAGATGGCGGCGCGCCTACGTCGCCGCTACCGCCTGCTAGAGTGCTAGGCTCGATCGGCTAGAGGTACCAGTTATGTTTTATTTACTATAAGGGATCAGAATCATCACCCGAGTAATGTATAGTGATTCTTATTTTTTTTAGACAACCTATTAGCCTATTTTTTTTATTTGTTTTCTAAACTTCGTGATAAAAAGTTATATAGAAAGCCTCTTATTAGACATGCTCGGCTGGTTTCTGACAGTGTTCTGTATTAGCGATCACTGCATCAATCGCTACCTGATGGAAAGAGACATGTCGTTTCAGCTGAGGCTGTTCCCTCTTATCCATCGTGATCCGTGTAATTGAGCATTTTTTCACAATCTGCCCTCCAGAAGAACAGAAGTGGATTTCCTTTCTGGTTGAAGACAAAAATGTCTTAGTTATTTGTGTGTGGTGTACAACCTGTGGCAAACTCATGAGGGCCCATGCGCTCATCCAAGGATTTTTACATGACAATTGTGGTCTCTGCTCTGGAAGATAATAAGGTCATACAATGCAAAAGTAGAGGCACTCAGGATGCAATATCACCAACAAACTGAGATTTTATCATCGCCGGGAATACTATGGACGATCCATTTCTCCGCCGAACTCTTCAGTACAGCCCAGGCACAAGCACAACCCTCTTCCCCTCCACAATTTTGGGCAAGAAAACATGCATATATTGGCATGCCGGAAGAAGAGACCGGGACTGGCGCCGGAGGACACGGGGAAGAACGAACTTGACGGTGAAGGCGGTGGCGGCGGAGTCCCGCAGCTCGGAGGGGGGAATCGCCGAAGATTATTACGCTGTTCTTGGCGTTGTAGGTGCTTCATCTGGAAAGCATTCTTTTTTGCAGTTTACCTTTTTTTGTGATATAAACCCGTTCTTTTGAATTGTCTAGTTTTGTAGAAGTGGAAAATAAGCAGTGTTTTTTTCTTCTTACTTTGAAAATATATATCTTCATGCCAGCAATTTTGAAATGGTTAGGCGGAAGAAACATACTGGTATGGCGCCTGGCCTTGCTACGTAATGCGTAGGGAGGAGAGTGGAGGGGCTGACTCTGGCGCTGGCGGCGGCGAGTCGCCATGGCGGCGCTGGAGGAAGCGAGGGGGGTAGAGAGAGATAGGGCTAGGATGCCAGGCGCCCAAGGGTGTCAAGATGACACAGTCCTAGGCTAATTAATTTACATAGTTTGATTCTTATACAATCCGACCCAACAACCTGACGCTAGAATTAAGGAAGCTTCTAATCAAATCAAATCTAAACAAACTGATAGCTGACCAAGTCTGGAACCTTGGCCCCTGGCCGCTGGTGGTGTCCCTGCCCGACACGTGGTGTGGCTCAGCCACGTTGCTCCTTGGCTCGGCGTTCATACGTCTTGCCGACCATAACACATACTATGCAGTGGGGCTGTTTGTTGCAACCCTGAAGCTACGGTAGAACACTTTGAATTTAATTCTCGCATGTTTGCAGATGCCAGATGCAACGCCGAAGCAGATCAAGAAAGCATACTACAATTGCATCAAATCATGTCATCCTAATCTCAGTGGGAATGACCCTGATATGACAAATTTCTGCATGTTCATCAATGAAGTTTACACGGTACAGTCTCAGGAGATAAAATCCTGCCATTTTCTAAACATGTTTTATGGAGCTATATTGAAATTATGTGTGAATCTAATAGGAGCAAGTGAAAGCAGGTGCTTACCGATCCCATCCAGCGAGCAGTGTATGATGAGATACATGGGTATGCCGCGACTGCAACCAATCCTTTCTTGGATGACAGTGCACCCCGGGATCATGTGTTTGTTGATGAGTTTAGTTGCATAGGTAGTGATGACTTTGCCCTGAACAGAAATTGTATTTGGATTCAATTTAATGAGCTCTTAATTATGTTCTACTCGCATCTCTCTGCAGGATGCAAGAACTGTGCTAACGTGTGTTCTAAGGTCTTTCAAATTGAGGAAGATTTCGGACGGGCAAGAGTTTATGACCAATCAGGCAGCACAGAACTGATTCAAGTAGCTATTGATAGTTGGTGAGAATGGAAAAAACTTTATTTCTTTTTTGCCCTGACTTTTGTTCGTTAATCTATCCATGATCCAAGCATCCCTACTGAAAATTTGGTAATATTTCTTCTGGTTTGGAGTCCTGTATTCTGATTACCTGTTCTGATAAACTTTCGTTTTGTCCAGCCCAGTTGACTGCATTCATTGGACTTCAGCTGCGCAACTTTCGCTCCTTGAGGATGAAATGCGCAGAGTAGAGAGAGTAAATGTACGATTATGTTTTTCTGATAATTTCGATGGCATGATCATGTTTCTGAGTTTCTAATTCTGACTGCAGCTAGTTAACAATAGAACCAACCTTCTAAATTCAAACCAACAATACATGTTATCCTACCTTGTACTAGTATATTAATCTTTTTCAATTTGAACAGGTTGGATTAATGCTTGCTGGGATGGGAGGCTCAGTTGATGTGTTTCGGATGGTAATATATCAGTTCTTTTTAGTACCTATCCTAACCTTCTCCTGTTGAAATGGGTCACCCACTTTTCTGCAACAGTTGTCTGTTGATATTTGATAATGCAATCACTTCCTGAAGTTGATATGTTATATAGCAATTCCTCCGAAGTTAAACAAGCCACGGCTTTCTCACATCTTATAAAATGTTTTCTGCCTCTCAGGCAAGTTCGCGTTGGGAGAAAAGACAAGCCAAAGTCCTGGTACAGTTTTCTACTTGATAGACCTTCATTAGATATACATGAAGGAATAACATGATGACACAGTTTTTTTTTTCTTGACACATGAACTGCCTGCATTTCTCATAAACTAGTCTGCATCTTGCAGGAGAAGGTCAGAAGGCGGATGAGCCAAGATGATTCCAGTACGGGTGGCTCATGGAGTGATATCTGGGGAGCACCAACAAGATACGAGAAGAACGGTAAAACTAGCATATTTAGTCTTTATAAAAGTTGCTCATATTTTTTATGTTTTCTATTCTTCACATGAGAGTCTTGTTAACGTTCCTGCTAACCCAATAAGCAGAAGAGGAGGCAAAGGAGAGAGCAAAGCGAGCAGCGGCTGCAGCAAGGAGGTGGCGAGAGTACTCAAGGAAAGGCGCCGACAAGCCTCCTACATTCAAACTTCCAGAGGCAGTGCCCAACAAGGAGTGAGAACACAACAATCAGAGACCTTAGGAAACATTACAGGGATACTTAACCCCCATTTACTTCATGAATGTATAGCCTAATCATTTGCAGAGAGCTGTAGCCTGTATAGTATATATTCGCTCTCTGATTCCACATGGTATACCTGTAAATCCTCTGTTAGTGATAGCTCGGGTCGATTACACAGAGTTCCCTCAGATTTCAGATGCAAAACAAGTGTACACAGAAAGTGACACCTTGCTACTCCTTACAATCATAATCTATATCATATGAACCGGTTATCTTTATCTGAGCCTTAAGTGATCATACCTGAAAGATGAAGTGCATAAACCACAATAATCCGCAAGTACAAGTACAACCATGAAGAGATGCCGTTATTTAGAGACGGAGCAAAATTTTGCTTTCCCCAGGTTCTGAATGGAGAACCCTTATCTGACGGAGCAAGCGACCGCGTGAGCCCACGACCTGAGATGCGCCTTCATGGCCACGCCTTCTCCGGGCGGCGGCATCGTCGCCTGCGAGCACCGGGCTCGGGCCGCCGCTATAACACCCCAGGTGTTTATCACCAGTTAAGCAATAGGTTTGAGCTCAAACATGACATGTCAAGTGGTAATCAAGATGTCAAGATCAAATCTACATGATGGAGCTTCAACTTAAACTTGGGCCACGCACATTTGCTTACATATGGACCCTTGTTAAGATTATGCAAGAGTAATGCTAAACATGCTTCTTCCATATACATTACATCCACATGCATCCATCTAGACCCGTGGAAAAGTTTCATGAAGTTTGGAATCAAAAAGTCACATGAAATGATAAGTCATATCTTTGCATGAATTGCTTTATCAAGTGGATGGAAACCTATGAAATCAACTAAACCTTGCAACCTTGCTCAAATGACTCTAGATGAACTCTACAACAAAAGTCATGAAAGGTTCATGTTGAGCAAATGCTTGGAAAATGCCTCAATTGACCTAAAAACCTAGTTTCGGCTTTATCAAGTTGCTGCCTTGACCTAAGTGAAAGTTTGACTTCTGTACCGGTTACGAAATCTGACCTTCAACAAAGGTTGTAGTTCATCTTATGTAGAACAAACTTTGTTAAATGGTCAAGATCTAGTTTGGCCTCTAACTTGGTCAAATAGAGCTCACAAGGTTGAACCAGCTGCTGTTTTGGGAAGAGCAGAAAATATTCCAAGTCCTTGAGTGGCAGCAATAAGTTGACATGTTTGGGAATTTCTATCTTCCAAAATCACATAGTAACTCAATTGGATTCCTTAATATGAGTTGGAGTACTTTTCATGAGGGAAAGCAATGAATCATGTGTCACCCATTTGGAGTTAATTGGGACCTTTAAAAGTAATCTCCAAAACAGCAAAAAGGTTATTTTATCACTTGAATGACATCGACAATGGCGTCTCACGTTCTGCAAAAATTTGTTAAGCAACTTTAGTTGATCCAAATTTAAAAGTTGGAGCTTACATGATGGGGAAGAACATACCAGAAGATGGCACCAGTTGCATTTCATTTCGACCATCAATTTTGGATGTTTGCTTGTCGCTGTCAAATCACTGACACTATCAAGTTTAGTACTAATTATCTGCTAATCCAACAGCCTAATGGCTGAGCACCCTTAATCAAAGTTGGAGAGCATGAGGAGTAGGTCAAACTTTGTTTTTGGCCCATTCGCTAAATCAGCCCGGAACAAGCCCAAAAACGCGCCCCACGCCAGCCACTTCCTCGCACGACATGTGTTCGGTGAAATGTCGTCGTGGCGACCATCATGATCAGTGACCCTTGCGTCCATGCCGTGCCACAGCGCCCTGCCTTGCCGAAGCGTGATGGGGAGAGCCCGAGCTTCATTCACTCGCCCCTCTCGCCTCCTTGTTGTCTCGGCTCGCTCTCCACTCGCTCTCGCTCTCTCGGCCCGCACGCTGAAGTCGCCGCCATTGTCGATAGAGCGTGCTCGCCATGGCCGGCGAGCGGGAGCTTTCCCACCGCCACTGTCCCTGGCCTCCGCGCCTTCCCAGTCCGAGCCGTGAACGCTAGAGCCCTCACCGTCGCACGGCAGCGTACCGGCGCGCCTTCTAGCCCCAATCCTCATTTGGCTGGAGGGCTGCCGCCGCGACCGTGGGTGTGGCGTGTGGCCGAGCCACCTCGGGCTACCTCCGGCTCAACCGAAGCGATCCCATGGATGCGTGTGGTCCCACCGGTGCTCGTTGCCCTTCTCCTCGCCCGGCCGCCGCCGGCCGCTCGCCTTAGAGGATGGCCGTGATCACTGACCGCCGCTCACATGGCCGGGAGGCCATGGGCCACCTCTGGTGGCGCTTCGACCCGGCCGGTGTGCCTCGACGCCGCGGTCCTCGTCGGCCGCTTCCTCGTCATGCAGACCCTAAGCCGTGAAGCCGACATCAGCGCGTTCCGGCGATCCTCCTCCGCCTCCTCTGAAAATCCCGACCGAGGCGTCATCTGACAATTCGACGAAAATCAAGCGCCTAGTCTGCAAGTCGATGACTCATGTGAATAGTGCCGTAAGGACTGGTTTGTAATTATTTTGCGAGGAACTTTGGAAATTCATAGTAAATCGTAGAAAATTAAGTAAAATAGTAAATGTGGACTTTTGGAATCCTTGTGAAATTCTCTATGCACTAGATCTATAATATTACATGTTTTACTTTAAAGTTTTAGCTGTAAAAATATATTTATGCAGCTAGGTTTGTAATGCTAGTGGTATTTGTTTTTTTATAACTGTATATCTAGGGCTCCAAATGAAGTGAAATTTTTGTGGCATGCTACTCATGTGATAGTTGATGTGTGGTAAAAATTTCATGAGTATTGGATGAAGTATGAGTGAGTTATTGGTTTATCTTGCTCTCACATGATTTCTTGCTTTAGCGACTTGTCTTTTTCATAGAGGTTGTTATACATATTCAAATGGAGTGAAATTTGTACAGTAGACTATTGAGAGGATATGTGAGCCACTATAATTTTTGTATAATTTATTATATACTTTTGGTATATGTTCATTAAGTCACCTTGTTATTTAAAATAAATTAAGAAATGCATTAAAAGAATTTATTTGGTCATGGACCCTAGGTTTTCTGGTGTTCTTTAGTCATGTGTGACATGTTGGTAAAGTTGGTTTTACCTAATTATGTGTTTGCAACATAAGTTAATATTTATTTTCTTGCAAATGTGGTTTCTGGACAGATCTGGGAACTTAGCAAAGTTCTTGATGATAAGGCGCTTTGTTGTGAAACTTGTTTATACAAAAGTTGTAGATAATTTATGTATCTAGATGCTGTTAAAATTTGGTATCATTTGGCCAAGTAGTTTGTGAGTTATGCCTGTTTAAAGTTGGGTTTCAGAAATGGCTGCTCTCTGTCAATTGTGGACCAGTTTCTGTAAATGTATAATTTCGACCTACTTAACTTGGGAATCATGCTGTGATGGTTATAGATGAAATGTAGATAATTTTATAAGCTTTCCAGAATGTCTTCTTGCAAGTCATTTGGATTTGTGTAACTCCAGTTATAGCTAAATCTTATAGCTGCTGTTTGCATGTCCACAAATTGACATATTCCAATTATAGTTGTTTGTTTGTATATTGCTAAGTGTGGCTTTGTTGATGATCAAGTTATGATACTTGTGACCTTGTTAAACTTGTGTCATACTTGATGTGCTTGCTCTCTATAGTTAGTTGTGTGATGTTAGTTAAATAGCTATTGGTGTCTATGTCTTGCATAATCTTGTGTTTGTCTTAAATGCTTATGTGTGATGCATCTTGTGTTACCATTCATCACATTCATACACATGCATCTTGCATCTCATTTAGGTACGCTAGATGCACCACGTGAAGGATGCGATGTTGGAGCCAAACCCGAAGAATTGGTTTGGTGGATATATCCCAAGATGGAAGGACTAAGCAAGTGCTAGGACCGGAGATGTCACCATGACGGGTATAAGCTAACTAAACCGACTTGTGTCGGATCGAGTGCAAGCCCGGAGCATATTAAGCCTCCTAATTTCGAAATGCGATTCTGATATTATTGTTACATATATATATTGTTGCATTAAGTTTAGGTGTTGGATGCAAACAATTCTTTGCATTGGTTACCCAATTCTTGTCTAGATATTGTTACCTCGAATCCTATGTAGCTCGGGCTCGAGTAGTGCTTAGTCACGCTTAAACGCTAGTAGAAGTCGGGTGATTTCTGTCACTGCGAGATATAGAAAGATACATGTGTACGGTTGGCTATAATTGCTATCGTGAAAAAGAACCGATCTTAATTTGAAATGAAGACCGGACGGAGGCTTACCGGTTTGCAGTGACTCTGCTGTGTCGTAATAAACAGGACTGATTCTTGGAGCCTTTTACATTCATGTTGAACGCATGCCTCTCTCTTAGTTGGCCGTGTCCGATGACCGACCATGGCCGAGTAGCTCACCTCGGTAGGGAGTCGAGAAGTATAAAGTGCGCCTCGGAAGGGAGCCGTGAGGCGTGAGTCCAAGGCAGGTGATTTAAAAAGTCCGATCGTCTGGCGGAAGGGTAATCCCACGAGAGTGCTTTACTTGTTGATCGAACCCACAATTTGGTTCTGAGATGTTCCAAAGGTGACCCACGGCTACCCTTGCAAAGTATGCTGGGGTGAGAGTTAGGAATACCCCTCTCGGTGAGTTGTAATTCGATTGAATCGCCGTCTCTCCGGTTAGTGAGAACTTGACGGGCTTATCTCCAATGTAGACACACTAAATAACATAATGGTTCGGAAATGATGATATGATGATAATGACCTTATTATACCTGCTATGGTTAATATTGATTGCTCCTAATAAGTGAGTGCTCTAGTACAGGTGCTAATCTAGTGGACAGATAAATGATGATAAGCTTGATGCTAAGTTTAAATTGGTTACTATGCTTATAAGCTCTTTTATGCAAATGTGTCAAGCTAGCCCACCTCATAAGCCTTACATGACCCTTGGTGTCATTTGTTTTGGTTTCCGACGGGTAAGTCTGGCTGAGTACATTCGAGTACTCAGGGTTTATCCCACCATGTTGCAGGTGAAGTTCTTGACCTGTTGAAGATGGTGGTTAACCGCCGGTGGCTCAGTAATTCTATAGTTACTTCTCATCTATATGCTTTTGTCGGATGATATCACTTATGCTAGCAATGTATTTGGAACATATACTAATGTAATCTTTTGAAAGCTATGTTGTTTTCACTAATCGGTTTTGAAACCCAAACTTGTACTATTATTTGTGAATTCATTTGTAATATTATTTTCCGTTGCAACCCTACGTATGTGATGTGTATTTGCTTAATCACGCGATCTTGGTTGTGATATTGATTTACCGAGGTCTTTCGGGACACTCGGCGGACTACCGGGTTTATATGAGTGAAGGTATGTGTGTGTCAATGTATTAGCGGAGACAGCCATACTTGATCTTGTATAAATTGGACGGTTCTATTACAGCTACAGCAATGCGCGCCCGCTGCCTCTGCTCCTTGTGCCAAGCAACCATGCGCTCATCACACTCCCAGCTGCAACCCCTCGCAGCCGCAATCCGCACAATTCCGCCCTCTGCTCTTCGCCCTGTTTGCGCCGCTGCCTCCTTGACGCATTTGGGGGCCCGGCAAGGGCGGCCGCTGGTCGTCTTGTTGGTTTCTGCCAAATCTTGCTGCGGCTCTTCTGCACACTCGCTCTCCTTGTGCTTGGAGGACAGCCGGAGGAAGACGCTGGAGTAGAACCACAGGGAATCCATGCTCGAAAGAATCGCGTCCCCTTCCATTTTTCGGGCTACAGGTAGAGCAGGGCCCTGTGGAGTTTGGGGAGGCAGCTTCAGCTACAACCTGGAAGGCTAGAACTGAGGAAAGAATTCCTCAAAAGAAAAATAGAACTGAGGAAAGAATTGGAAGCGACGGGGATTTGGGCTTGGGTGGCTGGTGGCTGGTGGCTGGTGCCAGCCATGTCCGTTTACAAAATGCTGATATGACGAATAATAAATGGTCATAGAAATTACGGTAGTTTATATACAGTGATACACTGATCGCTAATTATCTCTTTCTAACTATTACTAGTGCTCAAAGACTCAAGAATTTGTTGATTAAAACAGTACGTGATTCTACCATTTTGACTAGCTTAATCTCTCCACTCAAGGTTGACCGGCAATTGGCGACCATAAATCTTCTTCTCCTTTAGCTTAACTAGTATAGTGTCCGTGCTAACGCTACGGCAGTATTTCAGAGATGCTCATAAAAACAATCTATTTTTTATAGTTTAAGTTTCACGCAATTGTATTTCACTATGTATATAATCCGAAAAACACTCATGTATATCACCACCAGCAAGTTCAGGTCAAGCCTTAAAAAAAAGCAAGTTCAGGCCATGAAATTATAAGCCCATGCTAACGCTACGGTTCATAAAGTTACAAGCCCGTACTCATGTATATCAGCATAGCAAATATACTTGAGTAACATTGCAAATAAAATCACAGCTATTATATCTTTTGAAGCCATCTTAAAGGATTAATCTGTTCTATGGTTCATGGTAACAATGAAATGAGATGGCCGGAGCCCATCGTGCGTATTGTGTGTCAAAGCAAAATGATAGCATCAGAGTGCTTGGCAGGCCTGCACCTCTGTCCCCCATCCGGGTTTGCAGACAGCCACTCCGCGGCTGCTGCCTGCAGCCTGCTGATGCATTTAAATCACCAAAAGAAATCTAAACTATGACACGAAAGGAAAGCTCCAATGCATTCTTTCATTAACAATGACAAAGGGCAAAAATATTTGCTAAACTTCACCTCTGTAGTTTTTTCTCCACTGCATTATTTTATTAAAATAAAATAAAATATGGGTTCACCTTTTTAATGTTTGCTTGCTTCAATTCTGAAATCTCTTGAACTCCTTTGTGCTAACAAATTGAAGAATGATTGAACCACTGGCCAAATGCTGACCACAAGCATGAACTGTATATTCAAGTATCACTGTGCACTATGTTGTGGTCATCCTTTAATTTGAAATATGCCATGACCATGGAGCTTCAAGATGACGATGATATAAAATGAAGCTTGCAAACAATATGCAGAGCAACCACCTAAAAAGATATAAAGAAAAAGGTAACCAATAAGTGAAATTAGATATTAGAAATGGTAATAGATTAACTGAAGACTTATGTTACTTTTGGATGTCTTGAACTTAAAAAGGGATTTGGGACCTTTCAAGTGTGATTCAGTAAACAATATACAGGGGCATGTAATGTGCAAATGAAAGAATAGAAACATGTGAGTATTGGTAAACAAAAGAGCCATCATCCTAGCTTGCTATCTAACGCCTCTTCTAACATTATCAAAATGGGGAGAATTAGCACCCACTTATGCTGCCATATATACTGTAGCATGAAGATTCCTGGAAAACAGAAGAGAAGTTTTTCAGAATATTATTTAACTACTCCAACACTCGCTGCTTATATATGTTTAGGTAATTTTCTCGAAATGAAAAGGCATAAAAATTCTTGTTCGCATTTCAGAAACATCATCCCAAATCCTAGCTCTTTCACTGTTACCATCTTGCACGGAGAGAAGAGAAAGGAATACTCACTGCCATGTCCATTCCTTTTCCTAGTAAACCCCACAGAGCTTCCTCCACATGAGCTTTGTCAGAATTTGTGAATACCTGCAGTAACCAAATGTAGGCTAATAAAAATGCTCTCTGCGACCATTTTTTCAAACATACCATTTCATAATACATCATGAGTTACCTTAAGGCCAGCCATTGTAGTGCCAAATTCCTTGTACAGGTCCAGGCACATATCTGCAATTTGGCATCCTTCAAGCATTCAAATCATTTGTTGACTATCTGAAAATTCAAGAAAACAACAATTAACCAAAGACATGTTATTTCATTTCATCAAATCATTAAAGTAAGTGCAGCTTTGCTTTACCTTCAAAACAATAGCTCCACCTGTGGAGTACCCAAATAAGAAGCACGTGCCAAACCACAGTTTCCCTCCAGCTAGTATATTTGCCCGTGCTAACGCTACATATTAACCCTATACTTCCAGGACAAAATTCTTAAAAATATTCCAACAGGCCTACATACAATTGCAGCAATGATCATATTATGTTCCTTTTCCTCTTCTCCAATGCATACTGGTGATAGAACTTTGTATTGCGATCACCTCTTTCTAACCAATTAACATGGGTGGGTGCTTCTATTATAAGTCCTTTTGTTCATCCAGCCTAACTAGCAATGATCATATTAGTAGAATAGGGAATATTACTTGGAAAACTCAAATAAGAAAACCATAGAGAGCGCTAACTGCTAACATTAGTGACAATCACCAATGACAACTGAATGCACTTTCCCTGCAATTATAATAAAAACTATGAATCCCATGTCATTAACAAAAGAAAACCCTGCCAAACTATTTGTCTAGCAGGATTCACAAATGGAGCTTGCGAACAAGTTCCTGAAAAATAGAAAACAGAAAAATGTGAGGCACATATAGCATGCGCCCACTTCGTAAGAGAACATGGAATTTCACAAGCAACCTAAGAAATACCTCATGCTCTTTGTTTCTACTATCATACTGAACTTCTATTCAGTTCTATAACCTCTGTAGCAAAGTCTCAACAAATGTATACACCTACATAACACAGGGAAATCAACTTTAAGAGAAATAAATAACAAGAAATAAGGTATTTAAACATGCAAACAGAGAACATCACATAGGAGAGGTAAAAGGTAAATTAAAATACAATCATGTCTCTTTTAGGGCTGCTTGTTAATGGTTGATAAACTTATCTAGTAGCAGAGTGTAGAGCTTAAAGAGATGAATAAACACAGTTCTATGTACGTTTTGGCAAGAAAATAATGCTCCATGTCAAAACACATGACCACATTTAAAAAAAAATAAAGTCAGATTTATGGAACTGTACAAATATAGTGACAGTTTCTACAAGAACATACCAATCAATAAAACTTCAAAAACGGAACACTCTAGCATGAACAGGGAAGCCACATTAAGTGTTTGAGTTGTACCAGAAAAGGGAGAAAAATACTTGTAGTTCCTTGCTCCAACACAATTCACTACCAAATGCAATGGTGGTCTATTTTAAGCACACATATGTTACCTGTGTTTTATGGACGCAGTTGACATCAGCTAAGACATTTTACAGAAATTTGACAGTGTTTGGTTCTTTTCAATCATAGCAAAGAACATCAAAAATAAGATCCAGATCAGGAACAAAAAAACAGAACAATTGGTGGTTCCAATATCAGGAAAATGAAGATAAGAAATTCATGACCCCAGTTACTTCAGTACTTATCAAACACTGCAAGTTGCCAATTTTCAAGCATATATATTCCTACCTAGCTAGTAACAAATAAAAGGAAAAATAGAAAATGTGAACGCACCTTGTTAAAACCATGTTGAGCCTCTATAACAAAAGTTGAATAAAGAGAGAACGACAAGTCCATAATCTGCATTTCATATGCATTACTTTCACATCAGTAGTGCATTCGTGCTCTAAATGAGAAGTTGTTTCTCCTCTCCATGACAGAACAATTGGAGATATACTTATTTCTTATTTGAAAGCAAGGATAGAATCTGCAGGCATGGTACTTGGAGAATGGATCTTGGCACATACCATTGGATTCCTGGAGGATGGGTGCAGCAGCTCATCTCGCTTGGGATTCCTGGCGGAGGAGGACAGCAGCTCGTCGTGATTCCTTGAGGAGGGCCGGAGAGGGGCAACATCTTGTCCCGATTGACCTACTGCACAGCAGCTGTAGCCGTATGCCTATGCAAGCTAGCAGAATCAAACATTTGGATTTGGGGATGGGGCTAGTGTGTGGAGGAACGTACCTGTGATGGACGGAACTTGGGGGCACCGATGTGGAGGTGGCGCGGGCGTGAGGAGCGGGATTCACGATGAAGTCCTCGGCGCCAGCGTTCAGGCATCTACTCCGAGCAAGCAGCAACGAGAGCGGCCGGCCAGGGTAGCAGCGTCGCCCTTCACCACACCTCCATTGCCGCCAGACATGGACACGCGGAAGCAGCTGAAAAGGCACCCCCATCATCCCCCGCTCCTCCTCGTCCGCACGGCTGCCGCGCACCTCGGTTCCGCCCCGCGCCGCTGTCGCGTGCCCTGGATTCTGCCCCGCATCGGAGTGGGAGACGGAAGCGCGGCCGGACAGGGAGCCCGAGCCTGATGGCGCCGCCGCCGGCCAGAACCCTAGCCGTCGGGCGGACCGGGAGCAGGAGAGGGAGGTGTGCCCGCGCTCTCTGCCCCGAGCTTAGCGTTGATGTTTCTTTTTTCCCGAGAAAAGAGGCACCCGAGGATTCGAACCGTGGCCGTCGGGGGAGGGATTTTTATTTTATTTTTTCATCCTTATGGATGCAACTCCTCTATTTTCGAGTTTTATGTTTGCTCCTACACAATTGCCATTACAAACAGTGAACTTCCTACGCTTTTGCCACTTTCGCTGATGTGGCAAGACAAGTGGGCATGCCTGCATGACAGCGAGCCTGGGAATCTCTACAAGGCATGCAAAATTACTTGTTTACCCCTGCTGCTTCTCTCTCCCTCCTCTTGCTGATGCGTGGGCCCCACACATCAGCTTCTCCTTCAACCCCATCTCTTCTGCGCCAGAGCTTCCCGGCCCCTCCTCCCCAAATGAGCGCAGCTCCACTAGCGTTGGTTGCCCTTCGCCACCGTTGGTGCGCCTAGGGGGAAGCATGACGCGTCCACCGTCATCGAGGCCGAGACTGTAACAGAACCGACCAATTATACAAAATTAAGTAAGAAAATCATCCGCTAGAGCAGACGATTTAGCAAACTTAAGCCCGTATAACCCGGTAGTCCGTGAAATTACGAAGGATTTCAAACCAACTTCCATTCCAGCCAAGATCGTAATAAGTTTAGCGGTCACCATCACATATTACATAAAAGTTTGCATCTCAGATACATCAGAGTTTAAACATAGTTATTACAAAACAAGTTCGAATAAAAGTAGCGGAAGTTATTTGTTCAAACCACACACACTCTCACGGAGTTTAAATACAGTGCCAGCGAATGATCATCTCCAACAAAAGCATCAGACAAGACGTAACGAATGACCATGCCCATGGTCCTAAGCATCACCCATCGCAGGATAAAGGCAGTTGATACGGTAGCCGTAATACATCTGCCCATCTGCAACAAGTGGGAATAAAACACTGAGTACGAGAAGGTACTCAGCTAGACTTACCCGATATAACCGAAAATTAATGACACCAAGGATTATGAAGGCTTTATAGTAGGGTAGCTGACTCATTTGCAAAAGAAGCATTTTTAGCATTTCAAGAACCTTTCTAAAAGCATTATTGTCAAGTTAATTCTTATTAACCTGTCGACTAAATTTGCACCTAAACTAGAGCAAACATATGATTAAGCGGGTAATGATAACCAGTGATCATTAAACAACTTCCATACTGTCATATTCACTATAACTGTCCAAGTGTTCCATAAACATTTACTACGATGAAGTAACTCAAGTCAAGTGCTCACTATCCAGGAGCGATGGCGATTCGAATCGATTCCTAACTAGCTGGTGATTTATTCCTTACACAAACCTCACTCACCCGCTAAAGTGAGATATTGATCACCGAGTCAACTTTCCAGGTATCTCGAGTTTGTCAGGAACCACATATACCCGGGGGCCGACCGACTGTACTTTGGTCTTATCATCTCGCCCCGTGTCCTACCACACTGCTTCTCAAGACTGCGGCTTGCTGCTGGGCAATCTACTCGCCCAAAAATCTCCCTTAGCGGTCGGAAGGTACTTTATCCGGCCGACTCAATGTAAGGCATGCGTTCAACATGACTCGAGGCGCAACAACGGTCGGTCCTTAATCGAACCTGACGGAAATACTACAGTCCCAAAACTACACGCAAGTCTCATCCGATCTCAACTTCATTTAACACTTAGTTATACCATGACTTCATAGTCATCCAAGCGAGATCCAGTAACCACCTATAGCTCGCGGTGGTGAAATCACCCGACTTCTACCGGTCTAAGCCACTAAGCATTGACTCGATTGCGATATACAAAGCTAACAAGGATATAGTATAACAAAGGTAAACAAGGTATAATGCAAAGAGCGGTTGCAAACAACTCCTGAACGTAATGCATCAAATAAAGTAAAGCATTGAATTAATAATTGCAAACCGGGAGAAAATGCTCGGGGCTTGCCTCTCTCGAAAAGGAGCTCGGGACGGTGATCGGGGCACTCCGGAAGTTCCTCAACGTCCTCCTCGTCGACTTCGGCACTTCCTGCTACCGCACCTCGAATCGCTCCTCGGGATCCTCGGGTATGACGATGGGTTCTCGGTTTGCGATCTGTATGATGCAATGTGCGTAAGTGCTTATGCAATCGATGCATCGGATGAGATGAATACAATGGATATGTTTGAATGCAAGGTAGTCAACATCATCCAAGAAAATATACTACAAGCACATGTCATCTACTGCATTCTCTTCTACTACTAATATGTTAAGTCAACACATCTTATTAAATGCTTCAAAGATACACCAAAGCTAACATTATTAACTAACTTGCATTAAAGAGGATTATTTTATTTCATTTTAAACTAGGGCTACAACAGCAACCTATATTTTTTGTGCTTATAAAAATCTAAGAAAATTACAATAGCATAGTACCACTCTAAGTAGACTACCATAAAATTTTCATGGCGTTTGGATAAGTAAAATAGTCTATACAAAAATGACAAGGCATGACAAGATTATGAACATAAAAATACTTTGAACTGTGAAAAGTGTCAAACAACAGAGTTAGTATTTTTCCTAGGTTCTTCATAGCATACAATGACTGTACAAAAATTATCACATGCATGTTTTATACAAAGTTTGCTCTCTAACTAAAATAACAAAAATCAGCCATTAAAGGTACTTGAACTACACCTCAAAATTTTCCCACAGCACATGCATGAAACATATTTTTCCTAGGAAGTACATGACATAAGAAGATTAACAAACTTAGAATCATATTTTTCTGAAGCCTATAGATTTTTCTACATATTTTTCAAGTTATCAGCAATATACATGATTAAATAAAATTCTACAGCAAAGTATCTCAAAAATGACATGCAATAATTTTTCCAAGTAGATCTGGTGATAAAGATCCTATCAAAATTTATTCCAACAGATTTGGAGCTAAAAGGAGTACACAAACATTTTCTAAAGCATTTAAACAGAAATCTGAAAATCATTTCTTAAACCCTTTTCAAAATCAGCTGACAAAACTGCTGGGTGCACCCGGTGCTGTACACCCAGAGTGACTGCCACGCGGGACCCACGATCAAGCCGGACCCACGCGTCAGCTGGAGCCGCTGCGGGAGACAATGATTTGTGGCCGGCTCGCCGACGGGCGAGGTCCCCGGCAAAACGGAGGCACCAACGTGTGCTCCCATGACAAACCGCGTCGGATAGAGGTGAATAGGGAGGGGCTGTGCATGGGAGAGAGGCTCGCCGATGGCAATGGCGGAGCGGCGGCGCGGGTAGTCGCCGGTGGAGTGTCTCCGGCCACGGTATGGCGAAAGGAGGTGCTCGGGAGACTCATCGTCATAGTGCGGTGCTTGTGGGTGCGAAGGAAAGGCGGGAAGAGAAGCGGGGAGGGGGAGTCCACGGAGCGGAGCTCACCAGTGAGCTCGGCCATGCTCTGGCGAGCAATTCCCAAGGAAGGGAGGCTTCCCATTGCATAAGTAGCGAACACGGGGTGCGCTTGTGAGGTGAAGGCGAAAGCCAGCGAGATGGAGTGGTCACCTTGAGTGTGGTGGACTGACGAGCCAAACCGCGAGGGAGTGGTGGCGGCCGGTGGCGGTGCGTCTGTTGGTCTTGCCCGAAAGCGAGAGGCGAAGGAGGAGCAGGAAATGCGATCTTAAGGCGAAGCTGCGGGGAGCTAAGCCGTGTGGCAAGGCGGCTGTGGATCGCCAGTGGCGCGTGGATCGTGAGAGTCGCCGCCGGCGACGGTGCCGCTTATATGCGGGCAATCTCGACGCGGTCGGGAGCATGATGCATGATGGCGATGGGCGTGTGGAGAAGGATCCAGCAAGACGGAGTCAGTCTGGTCTGGGTTGTCTTGGGGGAAGAAAGCGGTGCCTGACTTAAGAAGAGGGAAATGGAAATTTTCGATTTTATTTTTAAGGAAATTTCAAAAATCAGTTTTCAAATACCCTTTTGAGCAAGAAAATGACTTCTTTTTAAAATGGACCAAAAATAAAAATTGCTTAGAACTCAATCCTCTACAACTTTGCTTTTATGACCAAAGCGAAATTCTTTCTAGATTTTGAATTATAAAATCAATATCCATGTTTAACTCAAAACCCTAATTTTCGGGAAGTTACTTTGGAAGCAAAATTTTTAATTAATTTTAATACAAACCTTGCTCCAAAAATTGAACTACATAATCCTAGATGATTTACAATAGTAGCCAAACATGTTTTACTAATCCTAGCAAGCAAAATCAGGGCAAAACAATTCTAACAAAGGTATGCAACATTTGGGTTTCACAACATGTTTCAATTGTTTCGAAGCAGTGTTTCAATTGTTATTTACATGATTAGGCATGTATGATTAGGATGCTTGATGATGCATGATATGTATGATTTGCAGTGACTAAATGCAGACATAACACTGGGGTGTTACAAAGACATCCACCGCCTCCGTAGAGTCCCGCATTGTCCCGCTGCCGCCGAGCCCGGGCTCGAGCCTCGGCTTTTCCGTCG